TTCCATATGCTTGTCAAACTGCAACTCTCCCTCTGTGGGTTGAACCTTACGGTCCTATGTCACAGAACAGCAAACTCCTGGGTTGGGTTCCTTGGTTCCTCCACCAGGCCCACTCTAGAATCAGGCTCATCACTCTGCCAGACAGGGTTCAGCAGATCACCCCCTCCCACGCTTTCTGTCCAGGAAGCCTCAGGGACTTAGGTTAAGCCACCATAGTCAACTAATAGTGTTGATAAACTTCAACTTAATCAACAAATATGCAAACACCCACTAAGTAAAAAGCCCAGTGGAAGACGCAAGAAATGGCAAGATCTGGTAACCTTGTTCTCCAGGCTACAAGATGGAATCTACAAGATGGTCCAGCTCAACTATTTTTGCTCACATAATTATGGAAGTAAAGTCCAATGAGGGAACGAAACCTCAACTAAGGATCCCAGTGGGACTCCACTGTACAGTAATGAGACCACTGCAATGATGCATCTCATTCCTATTAACAGCATGGGCAGACAGACCCTGGTTCCAGTCCTCACATACTAGCTGTGTGACCTTGGGCAAGACACTCTTAATCTCTGAGTCTGCATTTCCTGTGAGATTAAAAACGCCAGTCACCTCACATAGCTGTTCTGAGGATTAAATGAACTGGAAAACCTAAACCCAACTCTGCCATATGACAGACAGTGAATGGCAGCTACTGGTTTTTTTTCCTATTAATGATCAGACACAAATATGCAACAATATACCTCCTAGCCAGAAGGAGCAGGACTAAGGGATCGGGGGACTCCCATGGAGTCCACATCTGGGGGAAGACAGACAGTGGCAGCCTTGCATGGGAAGGCAGACGAGGGCAAGCTGGAAGGGCTCGGTACCTGACCTCGCCCATGGAGAACTGAATCCACTTAACACCATCTTGACTGAGTGACCTAAATTAGATGGCACTTTTCCCAGAGGAAAGAAGGTCCCCTGGGTAATTTGACTGTGGTTACTGGGCAGTGACGTATCTTTGCACCCTCAATCCTAGTACCCAGACAATGCTAATGTTCGTTGAAATGGACAAATAACAACTCCAACTACTTTAGCTGATGTTCAACCCAAGAAACAGAGATCTAAGGCCCCAGGGAAAACTGGCCTGGTTGGTTTCGAGTTGTGCCTGTGGTGTATTCTGAGTGAGGTAAAGGCGTTTTAAGAATGATAAACTGGACTGTTCAGACTTTCATGTTTAGAATCTAACTCCCTTGAAAGATGCAACTCTGCTGTACTTAGGTGGAGCAAGTAGAGGGAAATTCAACTCAACAAATATTTCCTGAGCAACTAGTCTGCATCAGGCACCTTGCTAAAGTTTGGGGAACAGAGAGGAGATACCCCTCTAGCCCTTTAGAACCTTAAAACTGAAGAGAATGGTGTGGAAGAGGGCATGTATCTGTAAAGAAAACATGAACAGCTCTAATACGGAGTGTAAAGAGAATATAAGTCTTCACTACCTCCTACTCCGTGCTGGACTTGGAGTTAGAGCTGAATAAGACACAGGCATTCAGTGGAGAAGCCTGGTGGGAAGGAGAGCCTTTCCATTCTGGAAGGAGGCCCTAGGGTAGGGACCACATCTGGGGCAAGGTGTCTGACAAACAGCTTCAGGGAGAGCAGAGGGGATAAGACATTCCAGAAGAAACCACACAGGCAAAACCTGGAAAGCAAAAGGTGGTTCTAAGGTGGTAGTGTTCACTCACATGTGGTCAGAAGGACTGGAAAAGGTTTTCTTGAGAAAGTGGCATTTGAAATGGGCTCTAAAACCCAGGGAAGCCTTCCCTGACCCCACAGAATCTTTCATTACATTATCATAGCATGCTGGGCTTTTTCTTCATGGTACTTATCTGTTTGGAATTATATACTCATCTGTTGGTGCCTCATTAAAAAGACAGGAAAGAAAGAAAAGACCAAAATGGATGTCAGAAGAGACTCTGAAACTTGCTCTTAAACGTCGAGTAGCTAAAGCAAAAGGAAGAAATGATGAAGTAAAAGAGCTGAACAGAAGATTTCAAAGGGCAGCTTGAGAAGATAAAGTAAAGTATTATAATGACATGTGCAAAGACCTGGAGATAGAAAACCAAAAGGGAAGAACACGCTAAGCATTTCTTAAACTGAAAGAACTGATGAAAAAATACAAGGATTGTGAGGATGGCACAGGGCCCGGCAGTGTTTCATTCTGTTGTACACAGGGTACTGAGTCGGAATCGACTCAATGGCACCTAACAACAATAACTGGTGGTGCTTTAATGCCCATCTCTTCCACTAGATGCCAGGGAGGCATAGATTGTGTCACCTTTGTCACTAATATATGTCCAATGGCTGGCACCTAACAGATGCTCAATAAATATTTGTTGACTGAATGGGAGAGGACAGGCTCAGTACTACAGAGTATAGAGAATAAACCAAAGAAAGGAGCAGTGTGGAGCTAACACAGAGAAGTGTGGGGGGCCCAGAGCCACAGAGCAAGGCTGAGTCCACCCTGGGACACCCTGAATGCCAAGCTAAGGCCTTTAACTTGAATGCTGTGTGGTGGGTGGCGAGTGATCTCCTCAGAACAGAGGGCAGCCATGTGCATGGGTTCATTCAATAAAGATGTGAGCACCTACTGTATACCTGGCCCGGTGCTAGATGCTGGGGATACAGCCCATCTAATGCTCTCAGCTTAGCAGGAGAAGATAGACAGAAATGAACAAGATAATCCCAAAGAGTTTAGGATATTAGACACAAAGGGTCAGAGAATGCCTCTCTGAGGAGGTTAATATTTGAGCTGAATCTTAAGCAATGGGAAGAGCTGGAGGAAGGATCACCAGGTAGAGGGAACAGCCAGGAGGCCAGTTAGTTAGGCTGGGAGGATGGATGCTGGATGAAGCTGGGGGAAAGGCAGGGGCTAGGTCATGTAGACCCTTATAGAATAAAAGAGTTTGGGATCATTTTTCTAAGTCCCATAGGAAGCATAAAGGATCAATGCGTAGAAAAACAAAAACTTAAGGACTTTTTAGGGGACGGTGATATGGATAAAATAACAAGAAGGCCTGAAAGTGAGTGCTTTCAACTCTCATCTCCAAACTAAGGAAGAGAGAGATCCTTGAACCAGGAAGACAGGGCTCCATGCTTTGGTGGCAGATGAACACTGCCCCTCCTTCCCAGGGAATCTGTGACTGCTGTGAACTCCTCAAGAACAGAAAACAAACAAAAAAAACCCGTTGCCATCGAGTCATTTCAGATTGATAGCGACCCTACAGGACAGAGTAGAACTGCCCCATAGAGTTTCCAAGGAGTGCCTCACGGATTTGAACTGCTGACCTTTCGGTTAGCAGCCGTAGCACTTAACCACTACACCACCAAGACGTGTTATTTATCTGCACAGCCTCATTGTACCCAACAGGGTCAAAAATTATTTGCTAAATGAAGTAAACGTGACACTGAGACAAAGGGCATTAAAAACAAGAGAGCTACTGTCTAACATACCCAGTGAGGGCAGAGGACTTTTGTTCATGGCAGACTTAATTATTAATCAGCAGGAAAGAGTACTCATTAGAGACATTACAAGGAGCCCTGGCGGTGCAGCAGTTAAGTGCTCGGCTAACTGAAAAGTCAGCAGTTTGAACCTACCAGCAGCTCTGGGGGAGAAAAATGTGGCAATTTGCTTCTGCAAACATTACAGCGTTGGAAACTCTATGGGGCAGTTCTATTCTGTCTTATAAGGTCACTGAGTCAGAGACGCCGGCAATAGGTTTTTAGAGATATCAGTATTATGGCTTTATGATATAGGGAAGGAGGAAAAGTTCTAGAAGCAGGCTGGGGCACTAGGGAAAAGACCCATCATTCTAGAAGGAGCTCTGCCCCTAACTGGCTGTATGACCTTGGGTAGGTGAGCCCCTCTTCTGGACTTCAGGTTTCCTAAGTTAAACTATTCACCAAAGAATCTCTGGGTGAGTTCCAGCTCTCTGGAGTTTTATATTCTTAAGTCTCCACCATCTCCATTATCTTGCACAGAGGTGTTTCATGATTATTTGCTGAATGAATGAAGTCCAACTTCTCCTTTTACAGTCTGGAAAGCTGGCCCTGGAGGTGTTACCTGGCAGCGCAGTTAGTGGTAGTATATGGGGAGGCCCTTGGACAAACCACTGGTTACCCTCCAACCTTCCAAGCTCTGGGGTAGAGGTTAACAACAGGGAAGCAGAAAGGTGTGGGTGGGGACCAACGCTGTTGGGGGACAGGGAGGCCTTCCCAGCCTAAGGCTCCTGGGAATCCAGGTTCCAGATTGGATAGTACAGTTCAGACTGCCAGGGCTCATATCCCAGCTCCACCACATACTGGCTATGTAACTTAGGCCAAGTTACTTACACCCCTCTGTGCCTTAGTTTACTCTTCTGTAAAATGGAGTTAATAACAGGAGCTGACTTATAAAGATCGCTGAGAGACCAGTGAAATAAACCATGTAAAAGCTCCTTGAACAGTGCCTGATACGTACTAGGGGCTAACAAATGTTCCCGCCAGGGGCACTTCTACCACTCCTGCACAGCACCTGACCTGAGTGGCAACTTTTCGAGACAGGAACAAGGCGCATGCAGTATGGAAACACGTGGTTTGTGGTGACAACGATAGTAATAATACCAATAAATTCCCAATTACAGGCCTGGAAACGTGCTCAGCAATTCTCGTACACCCTCCGGGCCTAGTTTATGAATCTCCCACATGCGGGTTCCTCTGAAACCAGGGTTCAAGCCTCTCCATGACCTTGGACCAGCCCCGTTCCTCCCAGAGCCTGAGTTCTCTCATCTGCAAAACGGTGTGACGACTCTGCCGCCCAAACCACCCCCTAGGGTCCCGACCGAGGCTCCCAGGGCTGCGCCTCGGGTTTCCGGGGCCGGCCAAAGGATCGCAGGGCGCCGGGCCTGTGGGGGCTCTCCGGGGTCGCCTGTCCCCTGCAGGCCCTCGTAGGCCGGTCTCACTGGCAGCCTGCTCGTCCTCCCTACCTTCTTGCCGGCAGTAGGCCATAGCGGCAGCCCGGCACTCAGACTTCGCAGCGGGACGGCGGCGACCGCTCCACGCCGTGACCTCTACTCAGGTAGGGCCGGCGGCTCAGAGGTCCGCGCGGACCCGCCCCCTCCAGGCCTGCCCGCCGCGCGCCTGCTTCCGCGCCCTCTTAACCTCAGCCCGGCCTCTCAACTGAGAACTACATTTCCCAGCAGGCCGCAAGACGCTCCGTCCCTCTCCAGGCAGCAGGAACTACATTTCCCAGAAAGGCTCGCAGTGCGCAGGCGCATCAATGAGGTTGCGTGCATGTTGCAACTTTGTGACTCCGGGCTCTCCACGGACTGCATTTTCCAGGAGGCTTTGCGGCGCGCGTGCTCAGAAGAATGGGGACCCTGGGCGGTAACTCTGTAGCAAGTCCAGCCTTGTTCTGGGCCCCACAGTGGCATTCGCAGCTCTCGGCCGGCAAGAGGCCACTGGACTCCGGTCGTCAACTCTAGCTGAGCAGAGCGAGGCGGCGGCAACGAGCCAGGTGCCACGATGGCAGCGAATGTAAGTGTCTCCTGCTCAGCTGGGCCAGATCCAGACTTTCCCATCACCCAGGAGCCTCCGGTCCGTTTTGTCCGTCTGACCCTCGTCTGTGCGCAGACCTGCTGTCTGTCTACTAATGCACGATTGTGTCTGTGTGTTCTGGCAGCTAATCAGTCTGTTCATCTACCTTTACTCTCTCCATTCTCCACTTGTCCGTATTGTTTAGTCCAGCTCATCCTCGGATCGCGCGTTTGTAGGGAGGGAAACCTGGGAGGTGTCGCTCCTGGCAGTGGGATCTTGTGCACGGCGTCCCTGAGGCCCCACCTTTCACTCCCAGTTCCCGCCTGGGCACTTGTTAGTTAGCGTCGAGTTGATTCAGACTCATGGCGACTCCGTGTGAGCAAATTGGGGCTCTCAAACTTGCGGTGTTATGAGAGCTGAATGGGACCTCAGAGAGAGGGCCTGCCTGCGGGCAGGGTGGGGTGGTCGTTCCGGGCGCAGGTGGAGCTGTCCAGCAACGGACAGGGCTCTCCGGACGGAAAGTGAGCTCCCGGTTCCACGGATGTATGCAAATCGAGGCCGTGATGCTGCTAAGGAGCTCGGGTTGAGTGGGGGCGCAAGAGTTAGGGCTACGTGAGAAAGAGCATTTCCCAACTGTCGGGCTCCACCTCCTTCTGGAGGGGATTCGATTGAAGAGGCCCTGGCTGAAAGTGGTTTCCTTCCAAAGGCTGCCGTCTTCTTTTTGCAGCCAGCCTTTCTCAGGAGCTTTTCTATTTAAGCTCAACATTCATTCAGCAAACCGAGGAGCAGCACCCTATGTGTCGGCGCTGGACTGGGAGAAGCTGGTGACTCACCACTCGCCTGTGTGAAAGTGTTTCTGCAGCCAGCCTGGGCGCCCTGCCAGCCCCAGACACACCCTCCCTCGGGTTTTGATGGAGTGTTCTAGCCACCCTTCCCTGGCCTGTTACACCTGCTGTCCATACTCATTCTCTGTCCCCAAGCATCCTCTCTGCTTCCTATGCCCCCTGAAAGACCAGGGTTTGTCACCCACATCCCTAGCACGCTCTGCTTCAGGTTAGAGTTGTCTTGGGAGTATGGGGGTAGAAGCCTTGAATGTCACACCTAGAAAGCCCACTGAGGTGGTCCATGGGCTTTCAGACCCAGAGGCCTAGGGTCTGCTGGGAGGAGGGTGCAGGGGGTGGAATCCTGTCTGCCCCTCCCCCCACCATATTTTACAGGTGGGGAACTTCCCCAGCAGGCAGAGTCACTTGCTCCTGGGAACTGTAGCCAGGTTGGAGGGCTATGTCATGGGAAGGTGCTGCAGAGTGCCCTGGGGGCAGGTCCAGATTCTTCTGCTCAGTAGCTGTGTGGTCTTAATCTCTCTGGTTTATGTTTCCTCTTCTGTAAAATAGCATCAGTAATGGTTTCTGTCTTATAGGTTGCTGTGAAGGTTAAGTGAGACTGCACTCAGCACAGTGCCTGGCACATAAACTAGAAAAACCAAACCTGTTGCCTTCGAGTCAATTCTGACTCATAGCGACCCTATAGAACAGAGCAGAACTGCTCCATAGGGTTTCCAAGGAGCAGCTGGTGGATTCGAACTGCTGATCCTTTTGCTTAGCAGCTGAGCTCTTAACCACTGCGCCACCAGGGCTCTGCCTGGCACACAGTAGGTAGTTAATACATGGGGGAAAAAAATCTGTCCTCACAGTTGCTGAACTGTGTCTCTCTCCCTGCCCTGGTAGGCAGAGACCTCACATATGTTGGGACCTGACACCTTGTGAGGTAACATAGACTCACTTGGGTATCCTTTGCGGCCAAGCCTTGGTTTTTTCATCCAGTAGCTGGGTACACATTTACAGGAGCCACCACGCTGAGTGAGGAAGAAAGATCTGAAGATAGAGGGGTGGAGCGGAGAAGTGACAGAATCTATACTCATATAACAACAACTGTCCTGTGAGGGAGGTAGTATACTATCTTATTTTATAAGGGAATAAACAGAATCAGAGAAGTGGAGCAACTTGCCCAGGGTCACACAGCAAGTGATTTGCAGCGCCAAGATTTGAACTCAGTTCTGTCTGTTACCAAGGCGTACATGTTGACCTCGGTTCCTACCACATTGTCCCTGAGCCGTGAGACCTGGGTATGTGTCATTGGGGATAAATATGCCTCCATGTTTATTGGGAATTTCAGTTCACAATGTGGTCTGTGTGTGTTGTGTCATCATACCCCTAGCCTGCGGGGGACCCCCTGTGCTTCTCTTCCCTCCCTTCAAGGCCATCTTTGAGCCCCTTATCTTGACATTGGCTTCTCAAGGTATGCTAAGGGGAAGCCAAGGCTAGGGCTGCCCTCGCTCCTTTTCTGTCACTGCCCACAGCTGGCTCCCAACGTTCAGCTCACATTACAGCCCAAGAAATGCGATTTGCAGTCTGGAGCAGAGTGGTAGGAGAGTGGCTTCCAGTCTGCCTGGATTTGAATCCTAAATCAATCCATCTTTTATTGGCTGTGTTAGCTGGGCAGGCGACTTAACCCCTGGCCCTTGGTTTTCTCATCTGTGAAACTGGGGTAGTGATGGCACCTACCTCCTTGGGCTTGTCCGTGATGAGCATGTGATAGACTGCAACATTTATGATCTTCAGCGTTATGGTGAGTAGCTTCGCTAATGTTTCCAAATGGCATGGAAAATCAAGACCATTTCTGGACATAATGGACACCTGATCCTTGACAGGTCTGTGCTGGTGGCATTGAGGGACAGTCAGAAGAACAAGGCATCTGCTTTGTCGGAGCAGATACTCCGTCTTGAATCTCTCCACGGACCCCTCCCCGCCCCCACAAGTGCAGGATGGGACCTGGCTTACCCTGATGCTCATCTGGGAACCACTTGACATCTTGGTGACTTTAGTCAGCTCGCCCCAGCCTTGGCACTAACCTTAGCATCAGTCACACAGAAATCTGATAACATTCCCACCAGCCAGCACCCATACAGGGCTGACCATGCACTGGGCACTGAGCCATCTAATTATGTCCTCACAGGAACCCAGTGCATTGGATTATCCCCATTTTACAGATGAGGAAATGGAGGGAACATAGGGATAAAATTGCTTGCCCAAGGTCCCATAGCTGGTGTGGCAGAGCCAGGACTCAGACCCAGGCTCCAGATTCCATGCTCATGACAGCGATACCAGGTGGCCTCGTAGTCAGCAGTGAACACACTCTGAACCTTGGTTTTTTATAACCTGATCAAAGCCTGGCATTAGAAGCCACCCATGAGTTTGCCCGGACATGCCTAGCTGCCTGCATCTCCCCCACTTCCCTAAAGCCCTAGCCACAGCAGATACGTCACTCTTCCTATAGAACCACTTCTGCATAGCTCCCCTGCTAGGGATGCCCTTCCCCAGGGTCTGCCTCTAAAATCCTCCTCAAATGCACCCTCCTCCAGGCAGCCTGCCTTGATCCCCCAGCTGGAAGAGGTCACTCGTTTAGCACTGGGTCCACCCTCTCACCGGACACTCAGCATGACCTCCTAGTATTGTTTGTGGCTGTGGCATGACTGCCCCATAAGCCTGTCTCCCCTTCTTCCCTCCCCACCAGGCCCAGCACGCACGGCCCTCAGCTCAGTCACTATTTGTTGAGTTTAATTAAAAATACATTTCTAATAACCTTTTTGTAGAACAGGCAGTTTCTTCAAAAGTTAAACATACATCTCTCCTATGACCCAGCAATTCTACTCCTATATATATAATTTCTCTTATATATACATATATATAAAAGAAATGAAAGCACATGTCCACACATTACTCATAGTACCCCAAACTGGAAACAACCCCAATGTTCATCAACTGATGAATGAATAAGCGAATTGTGGCATATCCACACAGTCGAATATTATGCAGCCATAAAAAGAAACAAAACCACTGATACACAACGCGGGTGAATCTCAAAAGCACTATGCTGAGTGAAAGAAGCCAGATAGAAAGGAGCTCATGCCGTATGATTCCATTTATGTCAAATTCTAGAAGAGGCAAAACTCATCTATAGTGATAGAAATCCGAGTAGTTGTTCCCTCTGGGGGTAGGGAGAGAAGAGTATTGACAGGAAAGGGCACAAAGGAACTTTCTGGGTGATAGAAATGTTCTGTTTCTTGATCTGGGTGTTGGTCACACAGGGTATACGTTGGTCAAAACCCGTCAAACTGTACCCTTGATATCTGTGCATTATTACCATATAAAAACTGTGTCTCAATAAGAACTGAGTCTAAATACATAAATAGCAAAACTCAATGATATTTTTTAAAACCTAACTCGTTCTGATTTTTAAAAATCTGTTTTTTCCTCAGTACTCCAGTACGAGTAAGAGAAAAGAACACATGAAAACAACGGCCAGCCCCCAGCCAGGCTTCCTGGAGCGGCTTAGTGAGACCTCGGGTGGGATGTTTGTGGGGCTCATGACCTTCCTGCTCTCCTTCTACATAATTTTCACCAATGAGGTAAAATGTTCAGGGTCCCTCGGTACAGAGTGAGGGTCCCCTCAGTGTCAGGGAGCTAAGGCTGTGAATCCAGAGGCTAGATTTGGTAACAAAGGGCCCAGATTTTCCAAAAGAGAGCAAGAGAGGTGCTGACTTAATCAGAAGTCTTTCTGTTGTGACCCACCTCACAACTGACGTAAGCAGGAAAAGGAATGGATCAGTCCATACTCCTGAAAATCCTAGGGGTAGGACCAGCTTCAGGCCTGGTTGGATCCAGGTGTTCATGCTGGGTCACCAGGAATCTCCATTTCTCCATCTGTTAGCAGTTTTTCTCTGTGATGGCGTTGTTCTTGGGAAGGCTCATTCTTCATGGTGGCAGAGATGGCACCAGAAACTCAGGTGACATCCAACTAGCTTAGCCACCCCAGAGAAAAGAGGAACCATGTCTTTCTAAGTCAGTTAGCTAAAGTTGCAGGGAGGGCTCTCAGTGTCCTGGCTTGGGTCTCTGTCCTCTCTCTGAACCAATACCTGTAGTCAGGGGGTTCTGGGTGGCTAGGCCTTAGTCAAATGATTTAAATGACCATTCAGATCAGCCTGTGTAAACCACATGGACTGAGAGTAGGGGAGGGGTGGAGAAGGCAAAGGAAAATGGGATAAGGGCCAGGACAGAGAGAAACACCAGCTCTTCCCAACATGGGGTCAGTGCTGAGACTGGCTAGAGGGAAAGGGTAGGGACCAATGGAGTGGTGGGAAGAGGTCTGCCTGGAAAAGAAGGGATCCTGGGCTCGGATCCCGATCTGCCACTAGCTGGGCCTCAGCTTTCCAGCTGTAAAATGGAGAGATGAGTCTCAGTGCTCCCTGAGGCCCATCATGCTCTGACAGTCTGCAGCAAGCACAGCTGCTTCGAGCCACCCCTGACTTGGTGATACCACTTTCCTTCGCTCCCAGGGCCGCACATTGAAGACGGCGACCTCCCTGGCTGAGGGGCTGTCTCTTGTGGTATCCCCAGACAGCATCCACAGCGTGGCTCCGGAGAATGAGGGGAGGCTGGTGCACATCATCGGGGCCCTGCGGACATCCAAGGTAGGTTTGGCGATGGTCGTGGGCCACTGGTGGCTCTGCCGCATCGCTGGATATTGTCTGGTTGAGCATTTTGAAAGTGATGATTCCCAGCTCCACCACTCACAGCTGTGTGGCCCAGTCACTCTGAGTCTCAACTCTTCATCTAGAAAATGGGGACCATAATTGTAACAAATAAGCACTGTAACAGAAATTGTAACATGCCAGTTTGAAGTGAGATTAAGTAGATAGGCTTCAGTGCCTGGCACATGTTTGAGCTTCACAAATAGGTGATCTAATGATCATTACTAGCCACGGGTATCTAATGCCATCCTCCTGTTGTTTGAACACTGAGTACTTTGTAGTTGGCGCCCTGCCATTGTGCCTGTGCTGTGTGGCTCATGGCGATGGGCACTGAGTGTTAAGAACTTGGGCCAGGCAGTTTCACTGGATTCTCCCATATGAAGTGACTGGAAAATTCTCTGTTCTGTGTCCCTGCTTCTTGATACCTGTCTGACTTCCCCTAAGTCTGGGATTCTGAGCTGAAGTAAGTCTCGTCCTTTATTTTTTGGTTTGTTTGATTCTCTTTGAAGCTCTTGTCTGATCCAAACTACGGGGTGCACATTCCCGCTGTGAAGCTGCGTCGGCACGTGGAGATGTATCAGTGGGTGGAAACGGAAGAGTCCAGGTGAGCTGCCAGGAAGTGAAAGTCAGTTGAGGGTAAAGGAGGTGCAGATGTTAGAATCAAATGCAGGTGGCTTCCATTTTGACGCTTCTGAGGTATAAAGTCTAAAATCTCCCCATCAGAAAAATTGCAGATTATCCCAAAATTATTAGTCCGTTATCGTTTGTTTGGAGGTGGCAGGAGTTTAGTGCCAAGTGGCTTCCAGAAGAAAGGAGATTGATTGGCTCCCTTGTTTGGGAGTCAGGGGAAGCGCAGGCTTAAGCATGACTGGATCCAGGCCTCAAGCAATGTCACTAGGTCAGTGTACCGCCCACCCTACCCCAGTGTCAGTGCTCAGCTTTCTGCTGCGTTGGTTCCATCCTCTCTCCCACGAGGGAGCAGTGGTGGCCTCCAGGCTTACGTCCTGCCAGTCCCAGCAGAAGTCCCAGAGCAGGCTGTCATGGCTAGGCTGGGGTCACCTGGAGTCGGGTAGGGTCAGCCCCCCCTAAGCCACATCGACATGAGTGAGGGATGGGAAGGTGGCTGGAAGAAGACAGTTTCGGAGGCCCTCAGCAGGGCTGTCCTGGGGCGGAGGGCCCAGAGGGTGAGGCTGGGACCCTTGGGTGAGCCTGGTGGGGGTGACTTTCAGCTCCAGATGAGAAGGTACTTTTTTCCAGTCAGAACCTTCAGGGGATGGAGCTGCCTCTGTCAGGGAGTGAGCGCCCTGTCCCTGGGCAGGTGCGGACAAGGCTCTGCCCCAGTGTGAGATTTGACCTCATGGTGGAGGTTGCTTCCAGTGGGAGATGCATAGATTGGAATGCCCAGGAGTGACTGGGCTGACCCATGGCTGCCTGTGCTTTCCCTGCAGGGAGTACACTGAGGATGGGCAGGTGAAGACAGAGACGAGGTACTCCTACAGTGAGTACCGGGACCCTCGCCCCCAGATGTGCTGGCCATGTCCCCTGCACACAGGTGGTCTCTGCCCTAGGGGAGGCTGACCACAGTGGGCGGAGCTGTGGATGGAGCTGTGGGAAGTCCCTGGGTGCCAGTCCTGGGCGCCTGGGTCTCCCCATCCATCGAATGTGGCTCCAGGAGCTACCCCTTCAGCCCTTTGAGTGGTTGTGGGCTAGGATAAGAGGACGCGGGGTCAGTGAGCCTCAGTCACGTGGCCGCTCTTACCACGGTCTGAGTCATTTCCTCTCCCTGTGCAGATACCGAATGGAGGTCGGAAATTGTCAACAGCAAAAACTTCGACCGAGAGATTGGCCACAAAAACCCCAGGTGAGAGCTGAGCCCCTAGGCCTAAGGGCAGCCTTCCCTGCCCCTGGGCAGGCCTCCAGCCTCAGTTTCCTCATCTGAGTAATAAGGTTGAGTTACTTCTGCCTTGTGAGTTGATGAAAATGTGGGAGATGGTTTTTAGGCCAGGACCTGTGCCCGGGAAAAGGACTCCCCTGGCCCATGAGTGCCCCTCAAAGGAGGCATAAAAACAAGGCCTGGAATAAGTGCCTAAAGGGGTTTGCAGTACTGTGCCAGGGAGGCATTTAGTTAACAGCCAGGGGGCTAGGAGGGTGGGAGGACCATCAGGAAGGGCTTTCTGGAGGCAGTGGCCTTGGATCTGGGCTTCCAAGGATTTCCACAGAGGGAGGTTACCTGGGAGGAAGCACTCGAAGGAAGGAATGGGCATGGAGGTGGTGAAGCGGCAACAGTTCCAGACACGGCTGGAGTGTGGGCTGTGGGCAACAGTGGGCAGGGCTGTGCCGCAAGGGCCTTGGATGGCGCACAGCAGGGTTCAGATGCTCTCAGGGCTGCGAGGAGGCAGTGAGGGGTGGGAAATGAGTGCCGCAGGGCATGCTGGCAGATTGACGCAGGAGGGTATCAAACTCTGAGGGACAGGAGACAGAAGGGGGTGCTCAACCCAGGGGAGGGGGGACAGAAGCCCCTGGGGATGGGACAAGTGTCTGCCGTGTCTGGGCTGGTCTGGATGCACTGGAGGCCCCCTGGGTAAGGACCCTGCCCAGCACACCTCAGGGGGACCCAGACAGCTCTCACCCTGATGCCTCATTTCACTGACAGCTCCCTCTGTCCCACAGTGCGATGGCAGTGGAGTCGTTCACGGCCACAGCCCCCTTTGTCCAAATTGGCAGGTTTTTCCTCTCAGCAGGTAAGCCTCAGGTGCGGCTGGGGTATGAGATATGAGTGTGGTGGTGGTGGGAAGGATGGGAGGTGAGGCCAGCTGTCAGGCTGAGGGGTTCAGGTTTTCAGTTGATACACCTTGTTCCTTACCACCCTGCTGCTCTCAGGCCTCATTGACAAAGTTGACAACTTCAAGCCACTAAGCCTGTCCAAGCTGGAGGACCCCCACGTGGACATCGTCCGCCGGGGAGACTTTTTCTACCACAGCGAGAACCCCAAGTATCCAGAGGTACACGGCAGGCCTGGGCAGTCTAGCTAGCACAGATCAGGGCCTTGGAGCACTGTCCCCGTTTGAGACTCTGATTCAACTCAGCTGCTTCCATAGCTACACTTGCCCAATTGGGAGGTTGGAGGAGGGGGAAAGGAGTTCCAGGTGATGAAACAGCCTGGGCCAGGGCATGGAGGTGTGAAAGGGGCGTGAGTGCCTGGGGGACTTGATGTCATCATTGGCTTAGGACCCATGGACCCAGGACAATGGCTTCTGATCCACTCATCTCACTTCTATTCCACCCCCCAGGTGGGAGACCTGCGCGTCTCATTTTCCTATGCAGGACTGAGTGGGGATGACCCCGACCTGGGTCCCGCTCACGTGGTAAGCTGCCTTCTGAGGGGCAGACTCTGAGTCAGGGCTTACAACCTTTCACCGGGCATGGACTCCTTGAGGAATCTCATGGACACTTTGGAGCCTTCTCTAGAAAATCCATACATATGCACCCAGGCACACGCTCAGTCGTGCACACTTTTGAGCCATTTCAGAAGTTCGTGTCCCCTGAAGCCCATCCGTGGACCCCTGCAGTTCTAGAAGGATTTCATAACTATACCTGTGACGGCTCTTCTTCCAATCAGTCCAGCCCCTCTCCTCCCAGCCCCCAATTTTTGATCTATAAATGCCTGGTCTTGTATTCCTGACCCTGTCATGCGCAGTCCCACCTCAGCCCCTGCTTTGCCTGTGGTCCTCCCTGGGGCTTTGGATGAAACAGCTCAGCCAACCCGCCCTGGGCTTGGCGTCCCCCCAGGTAGATGTGTGGAGAGAGAAGCCCCAGGCAGGGGTGACGCTTGGTTCTCTTCACTTCCCTAGCTGGCACACAGTCCCCAGAGGGATTGCTGGGACTAAGTGGGTTGGAAGGTGGGGGAAGGAGGGTCTCAACCTGTGCCAATCCTCTGATCACCCCCCTCAGCTCTGACACTGAATTCTCTGACCAGGTCACTGTGGTTGCCCGGCAGCGGGGTGACCAGCTAGTCCCATACTCCACCAAGTCTGGGGACACCTTGCTTCTCCTGCACCACGGGGACTTCTCAGCAGAGGTGAGTTGCTGCTGCCCTGCCTGTGTGATAGGGGGACAGGCGTGTCCCTCCCTCCTTCCTTTCCTGAAACAGTTATATAACAAGCTCCGCTGCTAGAGGTCATAGCCAGTGCAACGAGGCAAGAAAAAGAAATAGAAGGAACGATCAGCTCCCTCTGTGTGCCAGCCTGCTGGGCACTGAGGAGAGAATGGCGAGCACAGCAGACTCTGCCACAGGCCTTCGGCTGTGTGGGACAGATGAATGAGGAAAGCTAGGAAGGAAGGGCAGGTTGTGCTGAGTGTGGTGAAGGGAAGAGCGGGCACTCTGAGATAAATGGACAAAGGAAATGGATTGTGATGGTGGGTGCGGAAGGCTTCTCTGAGGAGTGACGCTTTTGCTGAGATTGAACTGATGAGAAGGAGGCAACCCTGGAAGAGTCAGGAGTCAGCCAGCGGTTCAGGCAAGGAGAAGGACCCAGTCAAGGCAAGGAGGAGTGCGTCTTATCGGGGAGTGGGCACGGGAGGTGAGGCTGGCACGGCGGGCAGAGGTGTGCACTTCTTCAAGAGCCTTAGGAAGGCAGTGAGGGTTTAGAGCTGGGGTGTCCCAGGACCAGTACCCTGAGACAGTGGACTCCAGAGCTCCTTTGGCCTCCTTTCCCCATCTGTAAAATGGGAAGGGTTATACCTCACCCAAGTCCACGGAGAAGGGGTGCAAAGATACAGTGATCAGTTCATTTTGTGCCTTCAAAGTTGGCCTCTTCTTTGGGCAGGAAATCCTTCTCTTTAACAGAAGAATAGAGTTTTCACATTGTATCACTGGTGGGACATTCTGTGCTGGCCCTAAAATGGATTGTGAGGCTTTTCGTCAGGAGGGCTAGAAAGGGTAAAGGCGGTGGGCAGGTGTCATGGATTAGCTATGACCTCTTTTGTCCCTATATTAGGCCCTCAGCTGTCACCTCTCCTACTGCAGCCTCACAGCCCCATGGAGGGACTTGGGTCACACCCACTCCTTGTACCTGACCAGGACAGGGTGTGGTCAGGAGGTTGCCCAGGAGCCCAGTCACCAGCCTCCTAACTGCTGCCTCCTAACCTGTCAGGCCATGCTATGAGTCACCGTTTCCACCCAGCTTTAAGGGCTCCCTGGGGTGTTTCTAAAATTAGGAAGCCCTGTCCAGACCTTGTTCTCTCCCAGGGCTCTTGCTCAGCCCCAGGCTTCCACCCTCTGCAGGCAGAGGGTGGCCTAGGTCTCAGAGATGGCCCACGAGAGAGGAGTGGGTGGGGCTTCTGGCTTAGATACCACCCCAGGGGGCCAGGACTGACAGTGCAGATCAGCTGGCCTCCTGATCACACTGCACCTCTGGCTGCTTAGTAGCCCCAACCCACCTTCGCCACAGCCCCCTATTGCTCCCATCCCCCACAGGGTCTAGGGTCTCTGCCAAGCAGAGAGAAGCCCCAGAGCCAGCCCGTGGCACCCGGAAGAAACCCCAGACCCTGCAAGTCAGGATGCCTGGACTGTGGTCCCAGGAAGGCGGAGAGTGTAGTGGTTATAGAGTGGGCATTAGAGACAGGCCCTCATGCAGGCCCTGGCGTATCTTTCGTCCTCTCTGAGACTGTTTCCTCATCTGTCAGATGGAAACATTTATTTATTTGCTTATTATTATTGTTGTTGCCGTTGTTATCATTCTTACCTTCCTTGGTTGTTGTGAGGATTATTTGTTCATTCGTTCAACAGGTTTTTATTGAGCCCCAGGGACATAGGGAGGAAGGGAGCAGACATGGTCCCTGCCCTCGGGAACTTAGGGTTTAGTTAACTGCTTAGAGACCTGGGCAAGTTACTTATCCTCTCAGAACTTGTTTCTTCATTCGTAAAATGGGGATAAGCGTGCCTACCTTGTTCAGGTTATTTTGAGGATTACGTCACACTTGTAAAACCTTAGGACAGTGACTGACAGATAGTAACTGGTGAACATTAGCTGTCACTGTTGTTATTGCTGTAGATTATGACAAGGGGGCCTGACTGAGATCGGGGTGCCAGGAAGACTCTGAAGAACAGGCATTTAAGCAGAGATGGAAAGAATGTGTTGGAGCTGGCTGGGCACAACTATGGGCAGATGAGTTCTAGGCAGAGGGAGCTGTGGAAAGGCCCAGAGGCAAGAAGACACCTGACCTGGCCTCAGGACAGGCAGCCAGTGGGTCTCGGGGCAGGCTGCAGGGGCAGGGCAGCAGGGCCTTGGCAGGTGGCTGTGTGGGGGTGACAGGTGGACGGAGAGAGACCGTTGAGGAGGCTGCTGCAGTAGTCCTGGTGAGAGGCATGAGAGATGATGATGCCTTAGATCAGGGGGTTGACAGTGGAGAGGGAAGATTTGGGAAAATGTGGCTGTGGAGTTGACAGGACCTGCTGATGGATTGGATGGTAGATGGTGAGGGGGGAGCAAGTCAGGTGCGACCCCCAGGTTTGGGCTTGAGCAGGTGGCTGCTTGTACCATTTGCTGAGATGGGGGAAGATGGAAAGAGAAATGGATTGGAGTCGAGGCTCACGTGTCAGTGTTGGATGTGCCAGGAGACCCAGAGGAGTGTATGAAGCCCAGAAGAGGTGCTTGCGCTGCAGCTTTATGTTTGAGAGTCAGTGGACGGGATTACTTGGGTAGAGAATGTAGACTGAGAAGGAAAAAGAAAGCAAGTAAAGAATTTCAGCATTTAGAGGACAGGACGAAGGGAAGGAACAGCAGTGGAGACTGAGAAGCAGCAGCCTAAGAAGTAGGAGGGAAGCAAGGAGAGGGAGGCATCCCAGAAGCCATGTTCCGAGGGTAAACCAGATAGCATGCACAAAGCATGTTGCATAGTGCCTGGCATGCGCTCAGACACCGTCAGCTGTTTAGGGATGGTGCTGAATGGCCCCATAGAGATACCGGTGCAGTATGAAGGAGAGTCAAGTTCATTACAGAAGAGACAGTGCGCTGAGGTATCTGAAGGAGGTGGGATCTGCCCGAGGAGGGTTCATACCTTCCACAAACATCTCTTATGCCTTGCCCTGTGCTGTGCTAGGTGGGCTGAGAGCCTAGTCCTAGAGTGGGAGGTTTGCCCTATCTCCCTCTGATCTGCTAAGAGATGGCCAACAGCTTCTGGGTTGGCATGGTCCTCTCAGCACCCACGCCTGCCAGCTGGTAGGCTGGTGACCACTCAGGGAGTCGTGACCACCCTGCCTCCACCTTGTCCTGCAGGAGGTGTTTCATAGAGAACAAAAGAGCAACTCCTTGAAGACATGGGGCCTGCGGGCCACCGGCTGGATAGCCATGTTTATGGGCCTCAACCTCATGACCCGGATCCTCTATACCCTAGGTAGGTGTGGAAATGCGGCTAGGGGCTGTGGGGGTGGGGGCTGCGGGGCCCCACCTTCCCTCTTTCAGCCCCGAGTGCTTCCCTCTGTGCTTACCACACTGTCATCTGTCAGCCTCTCCGGCTGATAGGGTGTTCCCTGCTCCACAGCTCTGGGATGAATGAGCAGAGGAAGGCAGGCATGAGGGCCAAGATGGAGTGCCTACCACGGGCTTGCAGGGGGTGAGGGCAGGGTGGATGCCAGACTCACGGGAGGCAGGCCTAGCTCTCATGATCTGAGGGTGTGGCCCACTTGTCCCCCTGTCCACTGGCTGTCACTTGTTCATTCCTTCATTTGTTCGTTCCACAAGTAATCAAACAGCCTCAGGGGGGGAGGCTGGACAGCCTATGAGTGAGCCAGACCTGGACTTGCAGTCTATGCTGTTGGAGCTCTGGGTACTTGGGTCAGTCCCTTTTCCATCTCCACTTCAGTTACTTCACACCGGACTTGCACAATTTTGTGAAGTGTTTGGCAAATAGGAAACACTCAAAAACTGTTATGCTTCCTTCCCTACCCCCAAACCTGGGCAAGGTTGGAGCTCAGGGGAGTTTGCCGGGCTGCTCACCTGGCCTGAGGCTGCAGCCAGGAAGCCCAGTAGGAGCCCAGTGACCCAGCGTGGTTCAGGTTCTGAGCCCCAGGGTGAGTAAGTGCTGGGCTGAGTGCTGATCCAGGAGGATGGGGCTTCTCAGGGGACTTTTCACTCGAGCCTTTACCCCAGTGCATTTCCCCATGTAGTCAGATGATCCTGCCCAGCCTCCTCTGGGCCTCAACAGAAACCTCTCCCCCATTGCCACTTGCAAGCTGGGGAGAGATGTGGCTGCTGTAAAGCCCAGATTGTCAGAGCTGGGAGGACCACCTCCCTCATCTTACAGAAGGGAAAATGAGGCCCAGGGAGGACTCTTCCTCTGAGGCTTTTTCTGGACAGCTGAACTGTACTCAGAAAAACTGGCCACATCTTTGGCACCACTAGGGAGTGACCAGAATTTTAAACAAAATCCCCACCTTTCCTTTGCACTAAGCCCATCTTGGCTGTGTGGCCTTGGGCAGGCTGCTCCCCATCTTGGAGCCTCACTCAGTTCCCTCACTGCCAGGATGAGGCAGCTGAAGCCCCTCTCAGAGGGCTCCTCTTTCATTCTCCGTGGCCCTCTGGTCCCCTCCACCCCTAGAATGCCAACATTCGACTCAGGACAGACAATAGAGCAGACGGGGTGTGTATTGCAGGCAGAAAGATCCAGGAAGCTGCAACACAGAAGCATTCATTCATCCACTCATTCATTCGTTCAACTAATAACTTAGTGAGTGCTTGCTGTGTGAGAGACAGTGATCTAGATCCTGGGGACAGAGCAGTGAACAGGTCAGACAGGGTCCCTGTCCTCTCAAGGCTTACATTTTAGAGCAGTGGCTAAGAGCTCAGGCTCTGCACCCAGACAGTCTTGAGTTTAAATCCTGGTTCTGGCACTTTCTAGCTGTAGAACTTTGGGCAAGTTTCTTAACTCCCTGAACCTCCTTATGGGTAAAATGGGGTTAAAAATAGCACCTGCCTTGCAGGGTGGGCATTAGGGCTTGATGAGCCGATGCCCATAGTGCCTGACACACAGGCAGAGCTAATGAACATGAACTCACTTGTGGTAAGGGCTAAGTAGAGGAGCCACTCATTATGAAAAGACCAAGATGAGGCCCAGAGGTGGTCTTCAGGGGCCTCCTGTAGTCACGATGGAGTACCAGGGCTGCTCTGCAAACCCAGTGGAATCAAAGCCCCGGGGGCCTCCTAGGACCTGGCTGGAGATTGCCCCAGTGGACATCTGCTGCTGCAGTGCCTACCTGGAGAGGCCAGTCAGGCCAAGAACAGAGTAATTTCAGGTGAAGTTAGCTGAGCCAGTCGCCTGTGAGATCCTGAGGCAGGCCCAAGGCTTGGGCTAATGTATTTCCCTCAGCCCTGCCCAGAGCTGGGCGCGTAGATACTTAGTCACAGCTTGCTGCTTGAATGAACCAACACCTCCAGGGATGGCTGAGCAGTCCAAATCGGCACTCTTAGAGCGCTGCATCCACAAGCTTCTTTGTGAGAATGCAGGAAACAGCACTTGTCAACATACAGGTGAATGTCTTTATATTGGCCTCAAGCTGCTATCAATATATAAAGTCTGCAGATCCCTACTGTGTGCCTTATCCCCCTAAACTGAGCAGAGTGAGTGGCTCAGGCTCTGCACAGCCACACAGCTTGGGAGGGCCCTCCTCTGGACTGTCTGGCTGTCAGTATGTGGTTACCTGCATTCCATCACTTTGACCCTTCCCTCTCCTTATTCATATGGTGTCAAGTACCAACCCTGTTCTAGGAAGGGAACCACCTGCTGAGTTGCAGTGCATGGTGGCCTCTTCAGCTCAGTGCCTTTCCTTCCCCACAGTGGACTGGTTTCCTGTCTTCCGAGACCTGGTCAACATTGGCCTGAAAGCCTTTGCCTTCTGCGTGGCCACTTCACTGACCCTGCTGACTGTGGCTGCTGGCTGGCTCTTCTACCGGCCCCTGTGGGCCCTCTTCATCGGCTGCCTGGCATTGGTGCCCATCATCATTGCTCGGACACGGGTACCGGCCAAAAAGCTGGAGTGAAACAGGCCTGGCACCTGCCTGACCCAAGCCACCACCTCCCTGCTCCACTGACCCAGCACGAGTCCGGATTGGTTTTCAATTCCACATTCCCTCCACTCTTCAGGAGGACTGACTCAGCAACATGCACACGCCAGGATTTGGTGTTCATCAGCTAACATCTTCCCCACCTCTTCTCTTGCCAATAAGCAGCTTTGGTGGGCAGAAGGCAGCTTACATTTGGCAGTGTAACAAGCGTTCTCCTTTTGTTCCCTTCCCTTCTCTTGTGACCTGGTGTATGTGGTCAGGTTAGCTTGTTTGACTCAGCTCATCTGTGTGCAGAAGGTGACGAAGCAGTGACACTCCACAGAGGCCTGCTGATCAAAGGGCTCAGCCTCATCACTTGCTGATTCCCGTCACTGGAGACAAGTGCCAGGACTCTGCCACAACCATCAAACCTATCTATGGTCCTACAGGGCAAACTTTAGTTATTGCTAAGCTCTACTGGATTACTGATAGACAAAGCACGTGCACAGCAATGCAGGAGCACCAGAAACCAAGTGTTTGGGTAGAACTTCATGTCATACTTCAGAAAAACAAAACAAAAACACTGAAGGTGTCATGATGAGAAAAAATGGGACATTTATTGGGCTTTATACTTATTTTATGGTTTGGCAGAATCTTTTTAGTGTAAAGGATGTCCGCAAGTCCTGTTTATAAGCTTTTCTTTGCTATGATTAATAGTCTCGTCTTGTGTACTTTTCTACCCCAAGTGGGAATTGTTTAAAATAAGATTTAAAAAACAAAACAAAAACCTCCTGAATGATTAACATTTCAGACCGTTACAGAAAAACCCCTTTAACCTGTCAGCTGAAGTTAATTCAGAGCACAGGAACATGTTAAATTGGGGTGTGGCTTAGTTGGTAAAAATTAAAAGTTACCTCTGTCACTATTCTGGGTTATTGGAAAACTTTAAGAAGCTTTTCAAACAAGTGTTAGCAAGGATTTGTTCTTCACCCTGAGATGAGATGGGGAGTCTCTACAGGATGGAGAAAAGCATTTCCTTTCATCCTCTGGTATCATAAACTGCCCACTTACTTGAAGATAGTTTTGAGTCTTTAGTCAACCATTAAAAGGTTGGAAGCTTTATACTAAGTGGGCTCCAGCATGGTGACTCCCAGTCAACCAAAATCAAGACTCAGGCTGAAGGCTGGCTGTACAATGCCCAAGTCTGGCCTGTTCCTCCATCGCAGAGTACAGACACTGGCATCTGGGCCTCAGAAGGCTTCTCTGGGAGGTTCTTGTCTATGTTGTCTCCAGCATCTCCTCTGTAGTAAAATCCACCCATGGTTAATTTACATAGTCCCTAAATTTCCCAACTACTTTACACGCTTTTAAAGATACAAGTGTGTTGTAATTTTGATGTCTTTAACATATTCTTTGTGCATCTTTTTTCTTTCTAATATTCAGAAATTGTTTTGCCCTTGCTGGGAGTGGTTGCTTTTGTAAGTAAGTATTTGATAGTTGAATAAGGGGTCAGAATTTCTGAAACTGGTGACTGAATATTCTGTTGTCCTGGGGCATCTCTGCTCTAGATTCTTCATGTTAAAAACAAACAGCCAGCCCCACAGATGACTTACCTGGGTTTACATACTGAAATAGTATTCACTACTGCTTATTAAATGAGCAGTGTCACCTAAACTCTGAACAGATGCTTTTAAAACACAGACACAGTGTACAAGATGCTAGCTAAATACAACGTCCTTGGGATTTGGTTTGTATAATTTTCTTTAATACGGATTTTGAATTACAATTTAAAAACTGTTCTCAAAGAGCAAAATAAAGAAAAATTTGAAGCCTTTGAAAAATCACCATGAAATTTGTATTATCTTTTTGTGTTTTTGAGAAAAATTCAAAATAAAATTTTAAGTATCTTTTGGTATACAACCTTGCCATTATCCTTTTATTTGCATTCTTTCTGAATTTCTGTCCTAGACAATTCAGTCACAGAACTGTATGATAAATTTTCAGAACCCAGTTCTGAATTGTTTTTAGTAGCTAGTGGCTAAAGTTTTTCAACTTTTTTTTTTTTTTTAAAAAAGGGCAACTCAATATTCCTAGCACTTAGAAGCCTTACATAACAAGGCTTACTTTGCTTTGCTTGATTTAAAGTGAATGACTCATACTTCACCCATCTTCAGAATGTGCTAGAAGAGGTGGAATGGGGCAGCAGTATGAAACACTACAAAGGGTCTTAAGGGCTTTGGGTTAGCACAAAGACCTGAGTCCAAGTCCCAAGTCTGCCACTGATGGGATGTGTGATGTTGGGCAAATCAATGATCACTAAGCCTCAGTTTCCTCATCTAAAATTGGGAAAATGTCTTTCTGTCTCAGATAAAGCCCATGAAATGCCTCATTGTCCACCCTGAAGCTAGCAGTTTGAGTTCTTTTTGTTACAAGTGAAACTGGCAAGGTAACTTTCCAAAACTCACTTTTATGTTTCTCGAAACCTAATGTTTTATTTCCAGAATACCTCCTAGTAGGTGGCATCTGCCTGAATAACAAGTTGCTTCTCCAGAAGCAGGACTATACCCTTGACTCAAAACACCAAAAAAACAAGTCGGCTTACCTCTAGGAGATGGGCATTGGTAGAGGAAGTGTGAGACTGCAGTTTCCATAGCAACAGCAGTGTGTTTTTCAACAAGAGAGTTCCAGCCAGGCTCTTGCTGCATGAGTCATACCCCAAGTGTTTTGTTTGTTTCCCTGGGATAAAACTGACTCAAATTTTTAATGGCTCCTGTCAAAGATAAAGTAGTATCTCCTAGTTTAGACAGAAAAAAAAATCCCATGTGTGTAACGAGGAGCCTACAGGAAATCACTATCTGATTTTTAATGTAGTCTCAACATGTGTACAAATTGTTAAGTCATCTGGGTGTTCTCAACTGACAAAATCTCAGAGAAAATGGAGAGTTGAGTCTTTTTAGATAAATGCTTTATTTTTTCTCAAAATATTACGAAAGTTATTTCTCTGAGTATCTACAGTGGCACGTAGCTTTGTAAATTTATCCAGTAATGAGAAACATCTAGTTTAACACTGGTCTACTTTTACTAACATTTCCTTAATTCTCAATTAGTTATTCCTTTTCTTTCCTGATTTTAGCTCTTAGTTCTATTCTGCTGCAACCACAAGGTGTTACCTCAGAGAGCAGATCCCACCAACACCACAAGCCGAGATGATCTGCGCTTCTCCTTCACTCTCTTGTGTGCCAAGAGGCAGCATTAGGCAGTATTAGTGAACCTGATTCAGGGGGAAAATAAGTGGCCTTCAGCGAAAGTCCAAAAGAGAGGCACGAGCACAGTGTTTGACAGCTGGAGGATTTAACCGCAAGAAACGACCAGCGTGTTCCTCAACACACCATCATCTAAAAAGCCCCCAGTGGTGTCTATAAAAGAGCTGACCCACATTTCCAAAGATGGGAAGAATAAGCCCAAGGTGGCAGCAGAGTGGCTCCTTGGGAAGCTTCTCATAGCTCAGAGGCTAGGGCTTGGTAGCAAAAAGCTGTGAAAGCCCTATCCTGGGTGAATCCAACAAGGGGTGGGGCCAGGCCGCACTGCGGCATAACTTCACTGTGACCCCTTCGTCCTCTGGCCAGTGTCTGCAGCGCATGCTGCTTCTGTTTCCTTCTCAGCAATAAAGCTGCTGCCATGAGGGCCTGGGCACCCCTCAAGGGCAGGCTGAGGCCTGCAGTGGCAGAGCACACAACAAGGTAGATTCTAGCATCACAGCTTCTCAAACGGAAATAGATGGGAAGCCGCTTCTTTCTTTCCCCTTCTGGTCTTCTTAGAACGCTTCTGCGTCTGGTCTTCAGTTTCTCGGTTTTGGGGCCAAGAGGCAGCCAAGATCCTGGCCGCTTCTGCTTGGGAGCTGGTCCCCTCCTCTTCGTCAGAAGAGAGCCCACCTCCTGCATCGGTGTGGAGAGACGCCTCACTCTGCAGAGGTGGGAGAGGGGGAGGGGAAACGTATGGCACGTGTCAGTGAAGAAACACCGGGGAGTGCTGTCAAGAGGCAGTATAGCTCCCAGCACTTGACCCAGCTACCAGTCAGCCTGAGCGGTATGGCTCTGGGGACACACAGGCATTGGTGGGAAGAACCAAGACTTCCTAGTTCTTCCCATCAGCATTCCAAGTCTCGCTTCCCACTCATATGACTCTTACTATGCCTTCCTTGGATAGAGGCTCATTTAAGCAGGTCCTGGAGAGCCTGCTGTAAGCCAAGCATGGGGGAGTGCAAAGATGTTGGGGCAGCTCAAAATCAAATCTAGGAGATAAGTGTGACTGGTGCTTTGCATTTGTTATCCCAGTTTTGAACAAAAGTACGTTATAGAGTGAAAGCGCTCTATGGAAGACCAATTAATGCGAAGAATGGAAGAATACAACAACATTAGACATAATTAAGGAGTTAAGAGAAAACTATACACATATCTAAAAGAAATAAGGAAAACAATGCAAGAACAAAAAACGGTTCTAAAAAAAGAGATAAAAAGAAACCAAACAAATATTGCAACTGCAAGGGACAGTAACTGAAAAGAGAAACACAATGGAAGGATTTAACAATAGATTTAGTCAGGCAGAAGAAAGAATAGTGAAGTAGAAGATAGTTAAACTTGCAGACGCTGAAGAGCAACAAGAACGGAGGCTCAAAAAGGCTGGACACAATTTACTGGAATTATGGGACAACAAGAAACCTAGTATACACATTATGGGAATTTCAGAAGACGATGATAAAGAGAAAATGATAGAAAGAATATTTGAAGAAATAATGACAGAAAATTTCCCCAATCTGACAAAGGACATGAGTCTACAAATCCAAGAAGCTCAAAGAACCCCAAGCAGGATAAACCCAAAGAGAGCTACACTGAGAAAACAGCATAGTTAGGTACCCAAAAAATAAGGATAAAGAGAGAATCCTGAAAGCAGCAAGAGAGATGCAAACAGTCACATACAAAGGATCCCCAATAAGATTAAATGCCAATTTATCCTCAGAAACCCTGGAGGCCAGAAGGCAACAGAATGGTATATTTAAAGTGCTGAAAGAAAAACACTGTCAGCCAAGACCACTATACCCCGTGAAACTGTCCTTCAAGAATGAGACTGAAATTAAAACATTCCCAGATAAACAGAAGCTGAGACAGTTCATATCCACCAGACTGGCCCCACAAAAGATACTAATGGGGGTTCTGTAGATGGAAGCGAAAAGATACTAGAAAGTAATTCAAGCCATATATATATATATAAAAAAAAGATCCCTAATAAAGAGAATTGCATGGACAAAAATAAACCAAAACCAAACACACTGCCGTCGAGTTGATTCTAACTCATAGCGATCCTACAGGACAGAGCAGAACTGCCCCATAGGGTTTCCAAGGAACGGCTGGTGAATTCAAACCGCCGACCTCTTGGTGAGCAGCCAAGCTCTTAACCACCGTACCACCAGGGCTCCTGGACAAGAAGAGAAGCTATTAATAAGCTATTCATGTTTGATAATTCTAATTGTTTTGTCCTTCATGCTTCTTCATAACAAATGTATAAAAAGCAAGTATAAAAATATGTTACCGGGTACATGAAATATAAACATGTAATTAGTGATAACAAAATGGGGGGTGGTATATGTATAGAATTTCTTGTATGTTACTAAAGTTAAGTTGTTAAAAACTTACCCTAGATGTTATAAATAAAAGCTGTTAAATGTAATATTCATGATAACCACTAAGAAAATACCTTTAAAAACATACACAAAAGGGAAGGAGAAGGGAACCAAAATGACTCACTCCAATAAACCAACAGAACACAAGAACAAGCAGAATTAAAAAAGACAAAGAGGGTTTAAGACACATAAAAAACAAATAACACAATAGCAGAAGTAAGCCACTTCTTACTGGTAATTACAGTGAATGTGAACGGACTAAATACTCGAATCAAAAGGCAGAGAGTGGCAGAATGGATTAAAAAAAATATGATCTAACCATATGCTTTTTACAAGAGATAGATACACCTTAGACCCAAGGACACAAATAAGTTGAAAGTGAAAGCACAGAAAAAATATTCCATGCAAATAATAACCAAAAGAGAGCTTGAACGACAACCTTAATATCAGACAAAGTAGACTTTAAGACAAAATCTGTTGGAAGAGATAAGGATGGACATTATATAGTGACAAGATTTAACAATCATAAATATATGTGCACTCAACATCAGAGCACCTAAATATATAAAGCAAACACTGACAGAATTAAAGGGAAAATGGTACTTCAGTAATGTGTGGAGACTTCAGCACACTACTTTCAATATTGGACAAAACATCTAGAAAGAGAGCAACACGGAAACAGAGGACCTGAATGACACTACAAACCAATTAGACTTAACAGGCATATACAGAACATTTCACCCAACAACAGCATAATATCCATTCTACTCCAGTGCACATGGATCATTCTCCAGCGAAGATCACATATTAGGGCATAAAGCAAGTCTTGATAAACTTTTAAAAAGACTGAAATCAGACAAAATATCTTCTCTGACCACAACAAAGTAAAGCTATAAATCAATAACCAAAAACAGAAAACAACAACAACAAAAAACTGGAAAACACACAAATTAAACAACACACTATTAAACTACCAATGGGTCAAGGAAGAAATCAAAAGGGAAATACCAGATTTCTTAGCGAGTCAAAAGAAAATGAAAGCACAACGTATCAAAGCTTATGGGATGCAGCGAAGGCAGTACTCGGAGGGAAACATACAGTCATAAACGCCTACATGAAAGAAGAAGATCTCAAATTAACAGCCTAACCTGACAACTTCAGGAACTAGAAAGAGAAGAGCCAACTAAGCCTAAACCTACCAGAAGAGAGTAAATAAAAAAGATCATAGCAGAAATAAATAAAATCAAAACCAGAAAAACAACAATTAACAAAACCAGAAGATGGCTCTTTGAAAAGATCAATAAAATTGACAAACCATTACCCAGACTGACAAGGAAAAAAGAGAAAAGATGCAAATAACCAAAATAAGAAATGAAAGTGAAGACACTACAACTGACCAACAGAAATAAAGACAATTATGACAGAGTATTTAAACAACTACATGGCAACAAAATGGATAACCTAGATGAAATGAACAAACTCTTAGAAGCACAAAACCTACCCAAACTGGCTCAAGAGGAAATAGAAAGTCTCAACAGACCCATAACAACTGAAGAGATTGAATCAGTGATTAAAACAGCTCCCAACAAAAAAGTCCAATACAAGATGGCTTCACTGGGGAATTCTCCCCAACATTTAGAGAAGAACTGACACCAATCCTGTTTCAATGCTTCCAAAAGATAGAGAAGGAAGGAATACTCCCTAATTCATTCTTTGAAGCAAACATAACCCTGCTACCAAAACAAGGCAAAGATACCCCAAGAAAAGAAAACTATAGACCAATATCCCTTATAAATATAGATGCAAAAATCTTTAACAAAATACTAGGGAACAGAATCCAACAGCATATTACAAGAGTTATACACCATGCCCAAGCAGGATTTATTGCAGGAATGCAGAGAGTGGTCAACATCAGAAAATCAGTCAGCGTAATACACCACATCAATACAACAAAGGAAAAGAACCACACGGTCATCTCTACGGATGCAGAAAAGGCATTTGCATCTGTCTGGTGCATCAGACAGACAAGGCAGGCCACTGTCCCTCCTGGGTGGCAGTTAGCACAGATTGGACCACAGCAGGCACTAGTGTAGACGGGTAGGAAAGGGATGTTCGGGCAGGGCTGGGTGCTGGAAGAGCCAGCAGAGGCCGGACTCCAGGAGTGCCTTCCTTGGAGACACAGGGATGGTGGTGTCGTGCCGCAGTTATCTAGGACCTGACCAGTGATTTCTGAGCTGAAACCCCAGGAAAGCAACTCTGGTTTGCTTTCTTTACAAAGGCCCGCACTGACCTTGGCCCCATAGCGAAGCTTCAGCCGCTCTCTGATGAGCAGTCCTTTGGCCAGCAGCTTCCAGTTCCCTAGAGCCCGTTTCTCCTTTTTCTGCATGTCAGAAAAGGGTGGAGAACATAAAACGTTAAGTAAGCATTGATATTTTCAGGAAAAGTAAGTATCTAGATAGAGCCTGTGAATATGAAGATATATATATATAATTTTAGATTAAAAAATAAGTTTCTCAATCATGCCACGTCTCATTTTTTAAAAACTGGTCTCATTTATAAAGTGATACTTTATAAAACCACCAAAAACAAGAAACCTCTCCCTTTAACTGTTACCATTGTTTGCTGCCATTCAATTGACCCCCAACTCATGGCGACCCCATACACAATGGAAAACACTGCCCAGTCCATCCCCATGACTGGTTATGGATCAAGCCATTGTGATCCATAGGGTTTTCATGGGCTGATTTTCAGAAGCAGATTGCCAGGCCTTTCTTCCTAGTGTGTCTCAGTCTAGAAGCTCTGCTGAAACCTGTTCTGCATCACAGCAACACATAAGCCTCCACTGACAGACAGGTGGTGGTTGCGTATGACGTACACTGGCTGGAAACTGAACCCTGGGCTCCCACCTGGAAGAGGAAAGTTCTACCACTGAGCCACAGCTGTTGTTGTTGTGTTGTTGGGTGCTGTCAAGTCGACTTCCAACTCACAGCAACCCCATGTGACAGAGTAGAACTGCCCATAGGGATTTCTAGGCTGTAATCTTTATGGGAGCAGATCACCAGGTCTTTCTCCTGTGGAGCCGCTGGATGAGTCGAACTGCCAACCTTTTGGTTAATAACCAAGTGTTGCTTATGTGCCATGAGGGCTCCTTTCTTTTAATTGTTACTGACTGAAGTTTTAGGAGATGAGGTCATCCAGAACCTGGACTATGGGTAACTCCTTTCAAGACAGACGTAGGTTTTGGTGGCAGGGGCAGTGGTCCTTGGAGCCAGGCAGATCAAGAGCCTGATAGTGGATTCTGAGGTGTAGGCAGGACCCTTTTTATACAGTGCTGGTGCCCTACAATGCCTTCATAAAGAGAGCTAGAATGAGCTTTAAAGCTCGTCTACCCTCTCCCCTTCCTACACATGGTGCAGGTGAGGCCCAAGGAGGGGAGGAGACCTGATAGCTGTGTGCTGTCCCTACCTCAGCACTCCCAGGCTAGCCCCTTTCCAGGCCGCTCACCTCTTTCTCCTTCTTTTCGATGAGTGCCTGTTCCTTTTCCCAGGCATCTAGGAGTACTTCTTTGTATTCCTCACAGATGATGTACCCGTCAGTTCTGAGGGGACAAAATATGGGTGATGTTCCCCGACCCTGCCTCCCTCTGCAGAGGACAGTGGGCACTTCTAAACACTCAGGCCCTTAAGGACTTGCTGGGTCAGCCAGTCCACGATGCCGGCTGGCAGCTAGTAAGACATCACTCCTGCAGAAGGAAGGCCTAGGGAAACTGGACCAGCAGCTACTTCCCCAGTCCTGCCTGAGCCCTGGGATGAGGTTCCCACCCCCCACTGCATAGCAGAACAGACCACGAACCAGGCAGCCCTGGAAGGATGCTGTGACCGCTGCCAGGGAGGTGTTTTAATCTAGCATTATTAGGATGCTAGCTTCACTGGCTTTGTTGACAGGATTGGTAAAGTGTTGAGGTTGATTCTGCAAATCCAGTATAAAAACTTGAAAATGAAAGCCACCGGGCCTCAACCTCCACCAGCCCACATCAGCTTCCCATCCCCATCTCCGTAAACTCCTCATCCCTCCTTTCGCCTCTGTCGGAGGCCCCTCACGCACACAGGGTGGGAATAGCCTCCATGGAAGTCAAAGCCAGTGATGGCCTGCACACAGTCAATGTCCAGCTTGCGGGCCACGCGGTGCAGATTGGGCAGGTTTAGCTGGACACAGCCGACAGGCATCATGCTGGGCAGGAAGAGGTAAACATTTCCAAACTCATTCCGGGGCACCTGCGGAGAGGGACACACCAGGATTTGGCCAGCTGGAAGATGAAGAAGCCTGTCCTGGTCCTGCTGAGTGCTGCCCTTACCTTTCCGTCCACAGCCACCGGCGGCTGGAACTCCTCTGTCTGCCAGCGGCCAAACAGGGGCAGGTCATTGTAATCCTGCAGCTGGGGCTCAGCCAGACGGGCTTTCCGGGCCCGGTTGGAATAGCCTTTCACCATCTACACCAGAGGGAACAGCCACAGTTTATGACACGCAGCTACCGTTTCTCGAGTGCTTGGTATATACCAGGCACTCTGCTCAGTGCTTTATATCTGTTCCCTCATTTAATCCTCAAAACAAACCTCTGAGATGGGTGAGCTTTTTAATCTTCTTTTAGAACTACCACTACTACTAGTACTAACTAACATGTACAGAGTGCTCACTCTGTCCCAGACACTGTTCTCAGTGCTTTATATGTATTAACTTATTTAATCTTTATAACAAACCCGTGAAGTAGGCCCTATTGTCATTCCACTGGACAGATGAGGAACCTAGGAGGTTTAAAGGATTGAAGTTGAACAGCTCATAAGGGGCAGAACCAGTATTTAAACTCAGAAAGTTTAGCTCCAGAGTCTGTACTTTTAACCACTGTACTATTTTCTCTACTTTCATCCCTGATGGTGAAATAGAGACTCAGGGATAAAGTCACTTACTTAATCAATCTTCCACGGCACTTTAGGGCCCCCAAAAGGCTCCCTGGCAGATGTCTAGCGGCCAATACCAAGATTTCCTCTGAGGAGTTAACGGATGAAAGGGTGGAGGACTGGCAAGGAGGAAAAGGTTGCATAATTTTTGCAAGGAGGAGTGGTGCAGGGTAGGGCTAAGTATTGGCTCCCGGGCTGGGCACACTAGCTTCTTTTGGTGCAGAGGTCAGCAAACTTTTTCTGTAAAGAGTCACATATGTCCCTTGTCACACAGTCTTTTTTGGGGGGCCCTAAAGTGTCAATGCATTCCAGGATGCAGGAGGCGGCATAGAGGAAGGTGGTGGTTAAGACACTGGCTGGACAGACAGCTGGGTTTAAATCCTGGCTTTTCTAACTTACTAGCCATGGGAGATTAAGTAAGTGACATCATCCCTGAGTCTCTATTTCACTATCAGGGATGAAAGTAGAGAAAATAGTACAGTGGTTAAAAGTACAGACTCTAGAGCTAAACTTCCTGGGTTTAAATACTGGTTCTGCCAATTATGAGCTGTGCAACTTTAATCATTTAAACCCCCACGTTCAGTTATAGATCAGACCATTGTGATCAACAGTTTTTTTTGTTGTTGTTGAGAATATACACAGCAAAACATACACCAATTCAACAATTTCTACATGTACAATTCCATGACACTGACTACATTGTTCAACTTATGCAACCATTCTCACCCTCCTTTTCCGAACTGTTCCTCCTCCATTAACATGATCTCGCTGCCGCCTAAGTTCCTAACCTAACCTTTGAAGTTGCTCGTCAGTTTGATCCCATATAGATAGCTCTTAAAAGAGCACAATGCTCAAGGCAGACATTATTATTTACTAATTAAGCTAGACTATTATTTAGTTTTAAGAAGACTTCAGAGGATATTATTGGTTTAAAGTTTAAAGATTATCTCAGGGCAATACACCTATTTCTCATTTATTGACTCTCTCGTTATCCTACATTTCACATTTACAACAATAGTAAAGAACTACAACCCGACTATTTTGCGTGTTAACAACGTACATCTGGCAGTAACTGACGCTGAAGTGTCAGGCAAGAGAGTAAAGCCGGCTGTGATGGTTAAGGTTATGTGTCAACTTGGCTGGGCCAGGATTCTCATGGTTTGTCAGTTTTGTAATGATGTAATTTGGCAGTTACGTAGCGATGTAGTTATCCTTCATTTCCACACAGCACCAATTTCACATGACAACTTGGTCTTTGGAACCTAACCATGTTGGTAAGTGAGGAGTGGGTGTAGTTTTGGGGGCTCATCCATCCTCAATGGCACAAGAAACTCTGGATTACATGAGAATTTGAAATTTTGTTCTGATCCACAGGGTTTTCATAGGCTGATTTTTGGAAGTATATTGCCAGGCCTTTCATCCTAGTCCATCTTAGTCTGGAAGCCCTGCTGAAACCTGTTCAGCATCATAGCAACACGCAAGCCTCCACTGACAAACGGGTGGTGGCTGCACATGAGGTACATTAGCTGGGACTTGAACCTGGGTCTCCCACATGGAAGGTGAAAATGCTACCAATGAAGCAACACTGCCCCCCAGGTTATTCTAGCATTGTACTAATTTAACAGCCACCAGTCCAATGTGGCTTACTGAACATTTGAAATACGGCAATCTGAACTGAGATGGATTTAAAGTATGAAATACACACTGGATTTTAAAGACTTAATATGAAAAAAATGAATGTAAAATACCTCAATAACCCTTAAAAACATTACATGTTGAAATAACTTTTAAATATATTTGAATATATTTAAATATTAAAATTTCAGCTACTCTTTTTACTTTTAAAAAAAAAATTTAGATTTACACACGAGCTCCTGTTTGTAGTTCACATTTATATTTCTATTGAACAGTGGTATTCTAGAATGAAGAAACTAGTTATATAATATAGAACATAAAACAAAGGTAAAGGGGCCTGGGGAAACTGGAAAAAACCCCCACAGTCCTTCAGGTCCTGGAAGGCAGAATAGTGTACTTCAGCTGCTTCTGGAAGGGACCCACTACAAATTCCTACAGCCCCTTCCCACTAATGGGAGCTTTCCCACTCCCCACACAGGTCCTCAGGGCCTTGCAATCCCAAAGAGGTCCTCCTGGGGATCTGACAAATAAAAATGTGTTCCCTGCGACAGCTACTGTATTCCTCTGGTTTAGCTGAGCTGTGACAGCCTTCTGAGGTACTGTACAAGTAGTCCCCAACTTCTGACAGGGTTCTGTTCGGATGACTCTGTCTTAAGTCAGTTCTGATGTAAGTCAAATACCTCTTTTTTTTCCAGTTTTCATTATTATTGCCTTTGATTAATCTTATCTTTATAAATCCGATCTTTGAACATCTGCAACCGAACATCTGGGAATGATAACATCAGCCGATTACACGCTGCAACACTGTATGCAATGCACATTACTAATGGTAAGATGTACGAAAAAAAACAGACAGCTGTTAGGCACGGTTCATCATATATGTTGTAAGTCGGGGACCACCTGTACTGAGTTCCTGTCTCTTATGCACAAGTGACAACTGAGCGCAGCAGCAGAGTGTAAGGGAGAGAACCCTGGAATGAGGCAGGGCCCGTGATTCTTGCCTGGCTCCGCCATCTTACTAACTGTAAGCCCTTAGACAAGTCACTTTCCCTTTCTGAGCTCCTGTTTCTTCGTCTGTAAAATGGGCATCATATGCCAATGCCTATGGTTGCTGGGACCCCATTAAGATCATACACATGGAAAATGCTTGATAAATCGTCAAACAAAAAGGATAATTTTGATTGGTAGTTGAGTTTATACAGTGCAGTTCCAATCTACAGGGTCTTCTGGCACCCAACAGGAGTCTGAGGGCTGATTTTTGGTCTAGATTTCTTGCATGCTCTGGGAGATCTATCCCTTATAAATCCCTTGTTAACAAGTCAATTTAAATGCTTGTCTTCTCCTCAAATCTTTCTCAAGCCAGCAAAGTCAGGCATCTCTGGATTCCTGTCCTGGGCATCCACTCGCTTCTTAGTCATCCCTCCCCACCTCCCACCTCCACTCCTCCACCCAGCTTTATCCAGAGCTCCCCAGGAACCCCCAGCTCCGGTTACCTTGTAGGGCACTTCTCCCAGCCTCACCACTCTTGCTTGTTTCAGCCACGTGTCCTTAGAGTGCAGGGTGTGCACACAGTCCCTACAGGAGACAACACAGGGAGACAAAGGACAAACTTAGTACATGCCCCACTGGATGGGATGTTCTATACACGGAATCTGCACAACCGAAGTACCTCATGACCCTGTAGGCGAAGGAAGCTCAGCCCTGCTGACTTCCCAGGCTCTGCCTCGTGGCCTGGAGCAGGCCCTACTCCTAAGGCAACCAGAGGATCTGGGTCAGGCACACCATCTCTAACTGTGACTTCCCATCTCTTTTTTTTGGGGGGGGCGGGGGGGGGGTCTGTGTCCACTTAAGATTCCTAAGCTAACTGGGGCTATTCTGTCTGCAGCTTCATGCCTTGCCTTCGCCCCTCCTTTCCTTCCTAGGTTTTCCTCTCCTCTCCTGTCCTAGACCCACAGCGGCACAAGTACACTTTCTCACACTGAGTGAGGGCCTGCTGTGGTCCGGTGTGGGGCTAAACACCCGGGCAAGGGGGCGAGTGACCAGAGAAGGGGGAAGGGAACCCCAAAGATTACATAGAAACTAGCTAAACTAATGGACTACAACTACCACAGCCTCCACCAGACTGAGTGAGTCCAGTACAACAAGATGGAGCCTGGCTACCACTGACTGCTCTGAC